GTAACGTCCCAATAACGCGTTCATCTAGATAAAATTGATAAATAACAGATTTTTAGCGATGGGCCCAATCTTAGATCCATAGTCCAACATTAGAGACATTTTCCCCTATATATAAATAATAATGAACATTGCCAGTTATACTAATATCATGCCTGAATTTGATATTAATAAGTTATTTTCTCCTACTCGGGATGTCAGACGCCATAAGTCTATGGTCGGACTCAAAATGATTAAGCACAATCTTCTTTAGGCCTACGTTCATATTGCTAAGGAGTTGAACAAGATGCTAAGAACTATATATACGTAGCAAACGACGATTGCAGCAATGTAAACAAACTTATGATTGGTATCAGATATGCCACGGGCCGGCACCGGTGGTGTAGTGGTAAGCGTGACTGCTTTCTCACCCCAATGCGTCTGGGTTCAATCCCAGCCGAGGTCGGTGGGATTTTTCTGAGGCATAAAAATCTCTGGTCACGTCTTCCTTCGGAAGGGAAGTAAAGCCGTTGGTCCCGGCCCATACTGCCGGCAACCGCAAGTCAGTCCCATCTGCATTTTTATCAATTTTGAGTTAGGGTCGTCATTTAGCTTAACTTTTCATGTATTTTCAGCTATGCTATTCAAAAATGTAAGTTTGTTCTAGAAAAGTGGAAAACAACACCAAATCAAGCTGTCCCATAGTGGAAAGTAACCGCAAGTCAGTCCCATTGGAAAAAAAAACGAATTTCACGAAATAATCAAGAGAACAACGTCATAACTTTGTTTTTAGCTTTGTTTATTAAGTAATGATAATGTTTGATAACAATTGATATAGAAAAGCATCTCCGCTGAAAGTTTTCGAAGCGTTTCTATGCATTTACGACTAGTTGTCATATATCCGGTTAAGAAGAATGCTGCTCTGGCAAATCAGTCCAGTACGATTTGCTGTCGGCGTTGATGAGTGGTGCAATAACTTTAAGCAAAGCAGCTTTTCTGTCTGCAGCTATTCCTTTGGGCGAAGCCTCCCGTTTCAAGGTGTTTTCCAAAAGAAATCCGTCTCACTGAATCTGCTTCATTTGCTTTTTCGAAAATAGGGTACATCGATTCATCGGTTTGCTTCCGTCGACAGCATTGCTGTAAGAAAGCTCGAAGCTTCCTTTCTTGAAAATAATGTATTTTATATTTTCAATATACGGTCGAGGTTTGCACTGATTAATTACGTACTGGCTGGTGTTTATGGTCGTGTAGAAAAAGTCGCTGAACTTCATGTTCATTACCTCCACGTTTTTCTTGGCCTTTTCGACCAATGCTGAAAAATCTGGAAATGTTTGAGCTGGTTTACTATTGCGCATGCTTTTTTCGATGGCAGCATGTACGCTATCTGCAGCCATGAACGTATGTCCAGTTTCGAAAAACTTGAAGGAAACTTTTCTAACACTAACAGCATTAGAATTCAGCAGAAGTATCATGTGTTGGAACATATTCCAATTTTTGTTTTGGGCGCTGCAGTTGTCCAGCCAGAAAAGTATTTCCTCATAGTTGTTGAATCGCTCGATTACTTGGTGGAAACAGCTAGTTATATCGGTAGCGTGACGTCCTGCAGTCGACTCATCCCATAGACATGTTATCACAGGAAGAATCTTTGCGTATTTTCCCACCGATGCAAAAGTTTCGTTGTAAGCCAACAAACGTTGTGAAAATACAATGCTTTTAAATCCATCAAGCCTTGGTAGTTGTATCACCTAGAAAACACATTTACTGTGGTTAATATACTGAAATGTATAATCTTATTTGTCGATCATATTTTACTCACCTTTTGTAAAACAACAGAAAGCACGGCGCAACCGGGTTTCACATCATCGCCATCTTTTCGGTACGCATCTCGCGACATAGCTGCCGAACGCAAGTGCTGGATATATCTTTCGCAAATCGAACAAGACTCAGTTTCGGCCGAGGATTCAAGAGTGGCTGATGGGACATTTTCTGATGTTTTTTGATGCTGAGTAGCAGTAGTGCATAGCTCACATTCTTCGTGACCCAACTTGACCAAGGAAATGTTCATCTCCTTCAACATACGACAATAGAATGGGTAGCTAACTTTTGGAAAGTTTTCTGTATTGAGGTAGTGCTCGAACATTGCTTTTTCAGTCAAGTCGAACAGTAAATAGAGTCTGTTGGGTGCATGCTCACGTCTGTAATGAGAAATGGTTGGGTTGAAAGAGTTGATGTGCGCCACTACCGAATCTCTCTTAGTCGTATCCCGGCTGTGCTTCCCTCGCTGTGACAATCTTCGGTTTCCATCCTCATCACCATCGACTCATCGGTACACGACATTTCTAAAATAAATAAATATATCATAGATACAAATGTGCCGTTATACGCATTAGAGTCCCACGGTGCATAAGGATTGTATAGAACATGGGACAGTTATGCGTAGAACGGCAGAAATGTCTACGTTAAAAAAATATACTTCTTACCCGCAATTATCGCTGTACCCGATTGTGTTTAAATAGAACTTTCGGCAAACTTCAACACGCTCGATATTGCTATCCGTTAAATGGAATATGTAGCTTTTTTTTTCTTTGGTTCCTCCAGAATGAACTGATTTTTAACTCGTCGTTTCAAAGGCGCCAGCTGAACTGTCTCTCTAAGAAATGCAGCTTGTTCAGAAGCATCCAAATCCCAGAATCGTCCATGAATTTGGATCCTGTCATCCTTGCCGATTTTCTTTGCGCATTCTTTTTGGCATTTGCAGTCTATTGGTTTTATGCCATGAGACTTGCGCCTCTTCTTAGCAGAATCTTCCTTCTGGATTTCTTTCTTCGTTCGCTTTTTAACTTTCGTAGCCCCTGTCGAAGATTCCTCTCCATCAAAAAAACTTCCATCTGAATCAATGAACTCATTCGGGTAGCTATCTAAGATGGCTTCTCGAAGCTCGGATGGATTTTCAATGCTACTGGCTTTGTGTTCCGCCGAAGCTGCAAGTGCAACAACGGAAGCTCTGGATTTATCCACAAATTTTTCTTTACCGTCACCAAAACTATAAAACTCTTCATCAGACAATTCACTAGACGAGCTTTCATCCGTTCCGTACATCGAAAGATAATTGAGCACCGACATTTTTCAAACTTTTCAAACGCCACGAATAATCAAAAGATACAGTCGCTGTCAGAACACGCTCAAAAATCGTCGCTCATGTTGAACTGAAACAGCGTCGCTATAGAGATGTGACTGACTTGCGGTTACTTTTCTGATTTATATGCAATAGGTCGTATGAATAAAAGCGTTTACTTTACTTTTCCCGTAAGAAAAGCACGGGAAAGTAAAGTAAACTCTTTTTATTCATACGGCCCAATGTAACCGCAAGTCGGTCCCAGTCAGATTTTGGGCATCCAAAATGTTTCTTTTGCTTTTTTTCAATGTGTTCGATTAAATATAGATGGATTCTATAAGAAAGCTCGTTAGTTGTCAAAGTTATCCATCCGAAATAAGCGTAAAACGAGAAAACATGTAAAATCTTTGCGCGCTGTTTTCTCATTTTCGCTATTTTACAGATGGGACTGACTTGCGATTACCGGCAGTATACAACAACTATACAAAAACAATACAAGTGTGACCATGGATGTGCTCATAATTTATTATACAAACCATGGTTTGTCATACAAGTGTATCAGCGGCATTAGTGGTGCAAACTAAAGAGACTGAATTGGGTAAAGAGGCGACATCTTATCCATTTGATAGGTCTTCTGCTTGATTAGAATAACTAGAGTCGGTGTATAATGAGTCACGCCAAGAGTGAAGCCAAGTCTACCTATTGAACTGTCAAAACGGCTACCTATCGTGCAAAGTAAATAAACATTACGATGCTATGAAAGGTTCACGAAAGGTATTGCAATAAAATATAAAATATAATCGAAGAAATGAGCATAAACACGCAGTGAGCGTTAAATTGTCATGGGATACGCTCGGTAATGATTAGTAATGAGAATTTCTACTATTTTTTGTTAAGATAATTTGACAAAATCACTGATATAATGATTTACTACAGCCGCAGTAATTTTTCTCTCGCTAGAAGTCATTTGAAGTTGTTGTAGAAGTCCTCTGTTGCCAAGTGAAAAGAATGGGAATCTTTCGAAAACCGTGATGCGAGTTCAACTGTTTTTCTCTTGGCGTGACTCATTATACACCGACTCTAAGAATAACTTTTCCTATGACTTTGACAGATAATCGATTGTTCCAATTTTGACATGTCGTCTCTTTATAAATTCAGTCGCGTTAATTCGCCTTGACACCAGTCCCGAAGTGACGTTTCTTCACACACATTTTGACAGTTCCTTATGGGGTTTTGCGTTGGAGTGAGAGAATAAGAAAAAGTCCGCCATGTTTCACACATAGACTGACAGTTACATATGAGATTTCTCCATAGGAGTAAAGAGTTACAAAGCTCTCGTCAACGCCAATGCAAACCTATGAAAACTATCCAGGAACATCCAAAACTTCACAGAGGACGCAAGCACGCTCATGCAAACACAAGAGTAACGACGTCAAACGCAACGTGACCATCAAAGCAACACGGAAAGTAACAGTTCTTAGTGGGACTGAATGCGTAGAATTTCCAGCTTCATAGAAAATTTCTCGGCGTAAAAGTCCCACTAAATGCTGTTTATATAAAAATAGGCATAACTGATTTCATTGAAGGTAATTTCCGTAGTTTTCACTAAAACATTCGCGATTTTCTCAGATGCAACTTTTAGAACATGGGACAGCTATGCCTAGAACGGCAGTACAATAGCTACAATACAATATCAGAGTAAAAAGTTACGGATTAGTTGCGAGCTATCTGTTTACGCCAATAGATAGTTTTAGTTATAACGAGACACTTCTTCGACACACTCGGCAATGTATCGTTTAAGGTATATAGGGTTGGTCGTCAAAATTGCATTTCTGGCCCTTTGTGCACTGTGTAGTTTCACATTGCCCTGGAAAACTGAAAATTTTACCTTCACACTTCATCCATACAGGCGGTACCAATTTGGGTCAAACGGACTTCCAGTGCTCCACCATCGACTATTTTTCCCAGGAAGACTACAATCCGGATCCGCACGATTCCACGAATGCCATTCCATGTAAGTATTTTTCGAAAGTTCCACCTAGAAACGCGTCGCCAAAGAAACAAATTCAACACTCAATAGTCCCCTCAACCAATCACATCACAATAAGAGAGTACCGTAATAGAATTATTAAAGTCTATCGCTCCCGATCACTGACTGGAAGCAATAGTAGTTGTCCTGTTTTCATTTTCGCCACGCTGCCATTCCCATGTCCATCAGTTGTCCTCTGTGCTCTACTGTCTTTGATGTTAGCTCCGGGTCATATTATTATGTTATCTATACGTAGTCGTCGTCGTTGTCCTACAGCTTCAAGTGGGGGACGATAGCCTGTTTTTTTTTCAAAATTATCTCACGTGATACCCGTACCCGGTAGTGGGAGATAATGTTGTACCGAGACCAGACCGGAAGGATTAAAGGGGCTTGATTTGAGTGAACGAGAGGTGCGGCTGTGTTGAGTGGAGTGGAAGGTGTGGCAGAGGGTCGTCAGAAAGGTACCAAACACTGATAACAACAACAACAACACATACTCACGATGGAAGGAGAGCGAAAATTGATCCTGTTATAAGTGAAGCATGCATTTTGGGTCATTAGGAAGCAATGTGTGTGCTTCCTTGTTTGATTATTATCCACGCAAACGCACAATAAGAGGTGAGGATGCGTTTTCGGCAAAGTAGGTTAAGCAAAGATAGCACTTTTCGCAACGTATCTATATGTCAATGAATTATTAACGAAGTTTCATTTTTTTTGGTTAGTTAAGTTGTTAAGTCACCACGCTTTTAAAATAGATCACTCTTCTTCTTTCTTGTGTTTGATCTGCTCTAATTCGCAGATACCGTTACTCATTCGTCGCCGTTCTTCCTGGTCTCGAACCTGGTGCTGGTCATCAGTTACGTGCTGTTCCTGCTGGCCATGTGCTCATCTAGGCATACAATTTGTTACTTCGTGTCCGGGGTGCTATTTATAATATCAGGTAATTGTTGTGCATTGTTTGTTTAATGTTTATATCTATATTCTGTGCAGTCATTTGTAAGTGGATGGAAGATGAACCAGCCTATAATCCCATATCAGTCCCACATGGAAAAAGTAGGCATTGAGAAAATGGCAGTTGAAGTTACGAAATGCAATTTCCATGTAAATATTTGAAAAATCATTGTAAATTAGTTGGTAATTTTTTTCAAGTTGAAATCAGTTACAATGAAGCATGCATATTTTGTTATATCAGCGAAAAATATGCCGATGCAAAAAGCAGAACTGTAACTTGACGACTGGACGATCAAATTTCATAATGGGACTTATATGCGATTACTTTGCTCAATGGGACAAACTGTAATATGAAAGTAGATGCCAATTGACAGGGGATAACGTTGTGATCTTAAACTTGACGAACATACATATGGGACAGATATGCGATTATAGACAGTGTAAGTCTCGGTAATACATACAAACTTTGAGAGTGAATGATAACTGTGTAAATACTAATGAAGTAAAAATGAATATCTATTTTGCTCCACCAGGCAGAATCGATTCCAAATCAGGTCCTGATCATTCTCCCAAAATTTGAGCCCATTAAGAGGCGAACTCATACCATAGAGGTAACTCTAAGACTAGTAGGTCTCGAAAAAACGTGCTCAACTTTTTGGCTCAGCTCTGGTACTCTCTTCAGTCCCAAGCTAATCGATTCACCCCTCGAAACATAGGAAAATCCGGAAAATCCACTAACACCTCATTTTATCTGTCAAACTTTCATAGCGAATCAAAACAAACATTGTGTAGTACTAGAATTTTGACTAGAATGGGGCACGTAGGCAATAGGCTAGTCAAGTAGTAAACCAATTTAAAATCGTTAGTTGCCATAACAATCAATACGAAACTAACGATTTTATATTGGCTCACTACTTCACTAGCCTATTGGTCCCAAGCAAGCGATTAACGTACCCCATTCTAGTCGAAATTCTAGTACTACGCAATGTTTGTTTTGATTCGCTATGAAAGTTTGACAGATAAAATGAGGGGTTATTGGTTTTTCCTCTGTTTCGAGGGGTGAATCGATTAGCTTGGGACCGAAGAGAGTATCAGAGCTGAGCCAAAAAGTTGAGCACGTTATTTCGGGACCTTCTAGTCTTAGAGTTACCTCTATGGTTGCCACCTGTTGCTCATACTGCACTGGCCGTTTGTAATTTATAAGGGGGAGGGCTTATTACGGATGTCACTTCACGGTGAAAACTTGTAACTTGCAGTCACGGTGAAGTGATTCCCATTTGATTTGTACGGCAATCACGGCTCTTATTCTGAGTATCACTTCCTAATCACCGTGTAGTGACACCCGTAATAAGACCCGGGAATTGCTATAGGACTTATCTCCTAATTCCCATAAACTATTTCTTTGAACTTGGTTTCAAGTTTGACAGAAATATCGTCTTTATTCCTTGACGTTTGGATTGGGAATGACAGTGGTGTCTTGAGTAAAAAAAAACAATAATACCTTACAAACTAGACTGCTAGATTGAATAACGGATGTGCCAGGTTGCTCTATCTTCACCCCGTCTTAATCGTTTAGTCCGAGGGCACGTCGCAACTCTTGGAAACGAGATGTATCTAACGCCTTGGTAAACAGATCCGCAAGTTGGTCCTGGGTGCTCACCGGCATGGTCACGGATAAAATGATGTTTTATATCGATATGGTTGCTGCTCTTCGCTTCGCGGTTCCTGGCCATACCGATGCAGCCACGGTTGCCCTCATAGATAATGACGGGTTTCAGGGTTATCTTCAGGTCTTCGAGGATGCTAGTCAACCAAATCGCTTCTGATGCTGCTGCGCGTAGGGCAACGTATTCGGCCTCGCTTGAAGATGTTGCCACCGTCGTTTGCTTCTTGTTCGACCATGACACGGTTACTCCGAAGACCTTGAACAAGAAGCCGCTAACGGATCAGCGGTTCTGCAGCTTCGTCGCGACTGTACTGCAAGCTGAGCCCCTGCGTCCACCTGCAGGTAGCTTACGATTCGCTTCAACGTCTGCCAGTGCTGATCGGCTGGATTCTGCTGAAATCGTCCCATGTAGCTTAACGGATAGCAAATGTCCGGGCGCACACACAACATGGTGTACATCATGCTTCCCAACCGCTCTCTCTACGGTTCCATCGTCGCTGGTCCGTCACGGGTTGCAGTTGACCATTCCTCCATTGCTTGTGCTTCCTGCGAAAGTTGAACCGTTCCTTCCTCTCGGTTGTACACCAGCTTAATGCCCAGGAAGTAGTTCACCTCGCCGCAGTCGGTCATCTTGAACACGGCAGAGAGTTCCTTCTTGAGCCGCAAGATCGAAGTCAGGTTCCTTCCAGCGAGCAATAGGTCGTCGACGTAAATGATGATGATCACCACGTCCCCTGATGTGCATCTCGTATACAAGCAGTACTCGTGGCATGCCCGGGTGAATCCCATCTTGAGCAACTGTCCATTCAGCCGCTCATTCCAGGGGCCGCTTGACTCGAGCCGCTTGATTCGACCACAGTTCGGTTGAACCTTTCTGCTGTGCCGTGTATGCTACCGTCGGTTCGATTTGGATTCGATCTGGAATAGAAATCTGTTTGCGCATTTGAGCCATACTAACGTCCTTGGTCCACCGTCAATCTTGAAATCTTCAAGCCGCACTTCACCGTCGCCATGGCATCATATTCTTGGAACATGCTAATGACCTCGGACTTCCTCCGCATCGTGCACAGCACTGAAAAGTGGGTATGGTCATCGATAAAGGTCACTAAGTATCGGGATCCGTTCTTAGCAGGGGGCTCGATAGGACCACACACGTCAGAATGGATCCTTTCCAAAGGCCTGGTCTTGCCCCCACGAAATTCAGCACCAGGCACCAGGCTGTTCGATGCCATTCGCCTTTATTCCTTGCTCGCTCAAGTGTCCGAGCCGCCGGTGCCAGAGCTCATCTGTCTCCGACGTGCACAAGTTCGCGGTTGGGCCTTCCAGGTCAATCTGTAGCTCGTAGAGGACACCTCTTAGCTGTGGCGATAATTTCCCCGTCTTTCTTCAACATTGCTATCTTGCAGACGAAGTTCACCTGTTCCTTTGCCACGTTGCTCCGCTATCGTTGATGAGGGGCTCACTGGATCCCAAGTCGAGCTTGGACACGAGCTTGTCACTCTTCTTCTTGACGTTGGCCCGGCTCGCCACAAAACCGCCTCGTTGGCCGCCGAGTTAAGCTTCACCACCGACCTTCTGTCGACAGTCCTTCTTGAGGTGACTACGCTTGCCTGAAATCAAAGTATTCGTTGGATTACCTGACCTGGTCACTCCTGTTATTTTTCGCTGTCATTCCAATTCAAGAGCTCGATGTGAGCAGTTCAAGTTTGCTTTGATAAAACATTATTTTGTTCGTTAAGTCGGGGCCTGTTCATTATTGCCCCGTCCCGTCCACGTAGTTCCTTCAGGTATGGGCTCGTCTACGAAAGAAGGCTCCCGAATTCCGCAGTTGAATGGAACGAACTTCGAGAATCGGCGGTTTCCAGTTCGGACGTATTAACCAAGCCAGTTCCCGGTGAATCGGACCAGGGAAGGGCGAAGTTTTTGCAAACAGATCGGAAAGCGAAGTCCTTGCTAGTTGGATTCCTTTCTGATGAATGTCTAGGCATAGTACGGGACAAGGAGACTGCTCGAGAAATGTGGAAGGCACTGGAAGATACATATGCGAAGAAGTCTGAAGCAAGTCAGACCCTGTTGCGGAAGCAGTTGGCCAGGCTCCGTATGAAAGAAGGAACTTCGATGCGGCATCATTTTCAACAGTTCGGCGATATCTTACGCCAACTCAAATCGGCAGGCGCGAAGCTCGAAGAGAACTACATGGTATCGCAATTATTTCTCACCCTTCCCGATAGCTACGACTCCCTTGTAACGGCTCTAGAGAATATCAACGGGAACGACCTCACATTGGAGACTGTGAAACAGCGGCTACTGGCTAAAGAATCCAAGTGGTCTGATAGGATGGAAGATTCGAGCGAAGACAAGGCAGCAGCGTTTGTTGGAGGCAGAAATAAGAAGCAACGATGTGGCAAAACTGGCCACATGATGAAAGATTGTCGTGTCCAGAAGACCGATGGTAACGTCAACGCAGCGGTTGGAAGCAAAGCAGTTTCGTTCATGGTGAACCAGAAGCAACCGAAGGTGCAGACCAAGCGAATCATCTTGTACGTGGACTCTGGATGTAGCGACCATCTGGTGAACAGTTTAGATTGCATGCAGTCGGTCCGGAAGCTCAAACAAACTTTCGTTATTGATGTGGCCAAAGATGGTGTGTCGATTGTTGGGAAATATGAAGGCGAAGTCAAGGGGATTCCCATTCCAGAAGGTATTCTGTTCCAGATGAAAAATTTAATTTTCGTACCAGAGCTGCGAGGCACCCTGCTTGCTGTCAAGAAGATGTCCCGAGCCGGGATTGAAGTGTTGTTCATAAGCCGGGGCGGAAAACATCAGGCGCTGATGAAGCAAGGTGATGCGGCGATCGGTGTGGCACAGTTACGAGGAAATCTCTATGAGTTGGAGTTAGATCTGGACGTGGCAAATCTCTGCGCAGCGGAGGTCAGCAATCTCTGGCATCGTCGTTTGGGTCACGCCAGTCAGACCACGATGAATACGTTAGTTCGACACAATATGGTGGAAGGTCTTGGCCTAAAAGTTGACTCAATTGGATTCTGTGACACATGTGTGCTTGGAAAGCAGTGCAGAGAACCCTTCAACGGAACTCGTGAGCGAGCCAGTCGATTGCAAGAGCGGATACATTCGGATGTGTGCGAACCAATCGATCCGCCGGCTTGGGATGGATCGAGATATTTCGTTTCCTTTATAGATGGCTACAGCCATTTTACGTGCATCTACCTAATGAAGAGAAAGTCCAAAGTCTTCGTACATTTTCAAGAGTATGAAGCCATGGTAACCACCCAGTTTGAAAAACGAAATTGCAAGCTAATTGTCGACCAGGGACGTGCGTATTGCTCCGGAGAACAGAATTCAGCCAACCGTTGCATATTCGCCTCAACAAAACGGCGTGGCTGAACGGTTCAACCCAACCCTAGTAGAAAAGGTGAGAACCATGCTTATCGACTCAAATATGTCAAAGTTCATGTGGTCGGAGGCAGCACTTACTGGAACGTACTTGTTGAACCGGTGTCCTACTGCTGCTCTGTCGGATAATCGTACACCTGCTGAGCACTGGACAGGTGTGAAACCTAATCTCTCCAAGCTGCGTATCTTTGGATGTAAAGCGTTTTCGTGGGTTCCAAGCCAGCTGAGGAAGAAGTTGGACAACAAGAGTCGGGAGGCGGTCATGATTGGCTATGCTCCAAATGGCTACCGCTTATGGGACAGAAAAGCAAGAAAAGTATTCATCTCTCGTGACATCAAGTTCGATGAAGCTTCTTTACCATACGCAAATGAAGAAGATGAAGGCTCGAAGGTTCCCTTAGTGTATCCGCCAGGGGGTCATCGGCCGAACAAGAAACAGTAGCTGTTATCGAAAGCGACACCGAAGATGAGGTCGATCCGGATACGCAAAGCACCGTTGATCTGGATGAAGAACCAACCGAAGAAGCTCCATACGAAAACCCTGGGGCGCTCGCTTCACAACATGATGACTATTCAGAGTCTGACACTAGGCGCAGCGAACGGGAGCGCAGGCTCCCAGGTAAGTTACTTGACTTCTTTACTGGGTTTAGAGCAACATCTGCTGGTAAAATTGCACCTCTCCCAGATCCCCCGGAATCGTACGCCGAAATCGAAGATCGAGAAGATCTACAGCTCTGGATGACCGCATTTAGAATAAGGTGTGGACGACGGTGGAATGCCCTGCCGGTGGGTCTTTCGCGTGAAAGAGGATGAACAAGGAAACCATGTGCGATGCAAGGCAAGACGGGTAGTCAAAGGTTTCTTCCAGAAGGCTGGCCTGGACTACAATGAAACATATGCGCCCGTTGCGAAGTTGACGACTATTCGAAATGTGCTGGCCGTGGGCGTACAAAGGGGATTCCATTTCCATTAGATGGACGTCAACACGGCGTTCCTTCATGGTGAGCTACAAGAGAGAATCTTCATGGCTACTCCGGATGGCGTCAAGGCAGACCCTGGGCTGGTGTGCCAGCTACAGAAATCGTTGTATGGTCTGAAGCAGTATCCTCGTTGTTGGAACGAAAAATTCAATCACACACACGGTTTCACATGTTCCAAACACGACTATTGCCTGTACACCCGTATTGACAAGAGGGGGAACGACGTTGTTTTCGTCGTGCTGTATGTCGATGATCTCCTGATAGCAGGTATGCAGCTGACCACCATAATGGAGCTGAAACGCGAACTGTCGGCGATGTTTGAAATGACCGATTGTGGAGCGTTGACTCACTTGCTTGGGACGATCAACAAAATGGTAGAATGATGCTGTCTCAAGAAACTAGCCTGGAAAAGATCTTGCAGAAGTTCGGCATGGCGGAGTGCAATGCAACAAGGACGCCAATGGGTAAAGGATTGAAATTGGATCGTCAAGTGACCGAAGGTGTTCGTACCGTGAATTATTGGGAAGCCTGATGTACATGATGATGTCCACAAGGCCAGACATTTGCTTTCCTATCGGATATCTGGGGAGATTCCCACTTTAACCTGGACAACAACATTGGACAGCTCTGAAACGGGTTGTACGATACTTAAAAGGATCGATGGAGTATTGCTTGACGTTTACTCGAGACAATCAAGCGGCGCCACTCATCGGGTTTGCTGACTCAGACTGGGTCACCGATACTGACGACCGAAAATCAGTAAGCGGATTTGTTTTCCGTGTTTTCGGATGTACTGTTGCGTGGTCAAGCAAGAAGCAAACAACAGTTGCAACTTCTGCAAGCGATGAGTGCAATATGGCTAGTCAGTGTTCTAGGCGATCTCGGTGAGCTGAACATTGAACCAATCACAATATACGAGAACAAGAACTTGGAGAGTAAGAGAGCCAAACACATCGACATTAAACACCGTTTTCTTCGTGATCATGTCGCTGCTGGTAAGCGATTGGTGGAGCCGATTGCCAGCAACAACCAGTTGACTGACTTCTTCACTAAATCGTTGGACGTCGGACTATTTGAGGAACTTCGGACGATGTTGGGACTATTCAAGCGAGAGGGGGTGAAATCAAAGTAGTCGTTGGATTACCTGACCTGGTCACTCCTGTTATTTTTCGCTGTCATTCCAATTCAAGAGCTCGATGTGAGCAATTCAAGTTTGCTTTAATAAAACATTCTCGACCTGTTCATTATTGCCCCGTCCTGTCCACGTAGTTCCTTCAACCGGCCGTCTTCGCAAGAATGGATTGACCTTCCTTTGCCAAGTTGCTCACGATCGGCAGCTTCAGCATTCGGACCACCGAAAACGCTCCGCTATCGTTGATGAGGTGCTCACTGGATCCCAAGTCAAGCTTGAACACGAGCTTGTCACTCTTCTTCTTGACGTTGCCCCGGCTCGCCAAAAAACTTACCGCTGATTGGCCGCCGAGTTAGCTTCAGCACCGACCTTCTGTCGACAGTCCTTCTTGAGGTGACTACGCATGGCACTTACCTGGGAACTTGAAGAGTTTCTTCGTTTTGTCACCGGAAAAAGCGGCCCCTTTGGCCTCGCCAACTTCTCCATTTCTTCAGCCAACAACCGCTGCTGAACGGCTTCGATTTGCATATCTTGCTCCGGAACGTTTTCCAGAGCGGTAACCAAAGGCTCGTAAGAATCTGGTAGCGTGTGGAACAGCAGAACCGCCAGGTCAATTTTGTCTACCTTCGCACCAGCTGTCTTCATCTGTCGGACCAAATCATCAAACGCCAGTAGATGTGACCTCATCGGAACACCTTTCTTCAGCTTCAGTCGGTTGAGCTGCTTCCGGATCAGGTGCTGCGATCCGATAGACTTGGTTGTGAATGACGCTTCAAGGGCTGCCCACATTTCCTTGGCCGTCAACTTCTCCCGGATGACTTCCAAACTTTCGTTGGCCAGGAAACTTACGATCAACGCCTGCCTCTTCAAACTGGACTTTTTCCCCCGCCACTTCTGGTGCGTTCTCCGTCAGATTATTCAGGACGCCGACCGAATCCAAGTGCATATTGACCCTGAAGCTCCAGTGTTGGAAATCCGGTCCGCCTTTGAACTGCGGAATTCCGCCAGCAGTATTCGTCGTGGTGCCCATAACCTTTTGTAATACTTGGTTTCAAGTTTGAGAGAAATAACGTCTTTATTAATCGAGGTTTGGATTGGGAATGACAGTGGTGTCTCGAGTGAAATCGAGTGAAAACCACATGTTCACTTTGCCCCTCTTATCCCTACCTTACAAACTAGACTGCTTAGATTAAATAACGGTTGTGCCGGGTTGCTCCGTCTTCAGAATAACATTCATGATTTCAACGTCCTTGTAATTTTGTCTAGGAACTCACCTCCGAATTTCCCTCGATAGTCTCTAGGAATCCTCTACAAAGGCCCTTATTACCGATGTCACTTCACGGAGAAGTGACAAGTTATCACTCACGGTGAAGTGATTCCCATTTGATTTACACGGCTATCACTTCTCCGTGAGTGACAAGTTGTCACTTCACTTCGTTTTCACCGTGAAGTGACACTCGTAATAAGGCCCATAATTATTTTAAAATTATCACTAGAGTTCTCTGGAAAATTTATGAATCCAGGTCTAGATCCAGGTTCCGAATGCTAAAAATTCCTTCAAGGCACATCCCAACTGTAGACTTGTCCGATGCCTCTTGTTTTGTTCTGCTTCGTCCACCTCTAGTGATATTCGTATCGCAACTAACTCCATCCCGCTTGTGATCATCCTCTCGTTCCTACAGTTCTCCAATACCAATAGACGTATTACAGGGATGTATTCTAGCCCAACCATACAAAGGTGTACCTCTGCATATTGCCTAATATTACTGAACTCAACATCAACTACTCCAAATCTGGAAACACTGAGAAGCTAATTCTCTAAGCTAAGCAGGCTTTTAAGCAAATGAGGATTAAAATTACAACTACGCTTCGTTTTCTTAATCGGAAGGGGACATATTGTATGACTGGATCAAAAACAAGTGTCCCAAACAGGAATTATATTATTTAGATTTATTTTTTTTATATGTACTGTCTTGTCTTTCACACACATTTGAACTTCTGATGTTCCGCTAAATCGTTCGACAAATATTGCGCTTAAATACTGACCATTTCCTTCGCCAATACAGGTCTCCTCATGCTCATCGGACTGATCATGTTCATCTCGATTCTGAAGGCGGAAATCGGTAACAAACTTCGACCACGATCGACACTTCAAGCTCCCCTGTTCACCTTCCGCTACGGTCAAAGCTTCCTCCTGTACGTGTTCGGATTCATCATCACCGAGCTGTCGGGAATCTTCAACGTCCTGATCTACTCCAACCTGCACCAGGCGGAATTCAATCGCTCGCAAACCTATCCCACCTACCAAAATTTGAGTGCCAACTACTACAGCATTACACCGAGCAAGGACTCGGTAAAGCCCACCCCGGGAGCTGCCGATTATGGCCTGCTCAACGGCACTCGACCAAGGTTCTATTTCGAGAACAGTGACGATTGCGCTGTCCATCGCTATCATCACCACCGAGATCGGCACAGTTTGGTGAAAAGTTTGAACGAGCTTTACACGGAACCGGCTCCGGAAATGAGAAGCACCGCCACAACTACCTCACCTCCTGCAGGGGATGCTGTAGCCATTTCTGCAACGTCTAACATAGAGATCGCCACGGAAACGGGGAGGCTAACGAGGAGTGTTTCGACCAGTACGGATATAATGCTGATGGATGATCCCAAGAGCGAGGGAGATGGAAAGAGTGAGGAGAATTTGAAGAATATCTGTGGCATTTCCCGGCAGTACTTGACGAAGGAACTGTCCAAGGAGAAGCTGTTCAATGAGTTTTGCAAGAAGGTTGGACCGCGACCGAAGCCGAAGAACATTTACTACATTGAAGATGACGCCAAGGATCGGGACGGATTCCAGAATGTGTTCGTTATCGAAGCGAACAATAGCGATGATGACAAGTTTAAACGAAGACGAAGGAACTCGATGATGGACGAAGCGGTGGGAATGGATACGCTGGAGAGACGGCAGAGGATTAGATCGGATAATTCGCTGGATCAGATGCACGGTGGAGGTAGATCGTACGATGGGTGTCCGAGACTGAACTACGACTTGAGACAAACGCTGCCGAGGAATTTCTTGAAAAAGCACCACAATTTACTAGGTGAGCATACGGGCTATGATGTTCGTGAAGGGTTCAACAGTTTGGATGATCTAGGGGACCACAGCGGCACGTGGAGCCGTAGAATCTCTGCCAGTGGAATACTGGAACCTATCAGGTTAGCTTTTACCGTTAGTATCGCTTCAAAAAGTACATATTTGGTTTCATTTCCAGACTGAACGCATCTCAGAACAACCTAGACGAGTCTTCACTCTACCATCAAGGATCAAAATGGCCAAAGATCATACCGAAATCTTCCGCCGATTTCACCACCATGCAGCAAAAGTACCTTCACGTCCCACCTTCGCCGTCCTACGTGGAGTACGCCGTAAGATCTCCCGTCCAAGTTCACCGGAGCATTGGCGATTTGAGTTCATACCAACAGCAGCAGCAGCAGCAGCAGCACCATGAACAACAGCAGGTTCATGGACCACACTACGCAAGAATCCAACATCCCGTACCGATGTTCAACTATATCCCACCGAAAACGGCACCTCCGATGGTGTTTTCCGGAAACATTTCGCCTATTTTCGATCTGGACAAAATTGAACGCGAACGACGTAAATCCCACTCGCAGCTGTTTCTCAATCACAGTTCGCAGCAACACTACGACTATGTCAATGGAACTGCCGTTTAATGTTGTTCATTGCCCTCCCGTACTGCCACAAATCAATTTAGGAATCCTGTCAGATTGAAGAAAAAAAAAACGTCCGAATTCCGAATGAAAGTTAACAAAAAAGTGTACCACTTTGTCAAATATCGAGCTTGCATATCAGTATGATGATAGATAATTAATGTGGAATATATGGTACCAACTACAAGCCCATCCATTACCAGCCGTCGAAAATGTTAAGTCCTGTGTTGTGATTTTCACGTGATGTCGTGTTTAGATTGATGCAAATAAATGGTTGATTCGATTGAATAATTGTTCTGCTATGGTTTCGATTTCCATTTTGGCTTCTGGTCTGGTTTGATAGCATATTTATTTAGCAAAAGAAGATGCACAATGCATCATAGACCTTGACCTGATGTATAGTTTTTATTAACAGGCTATCGCAACAAATAAAACAAAAAAATACAACTGAATGGTCGGACATCTGACCCTTATTCAGTTATTCAAATTTCGGCTAAATTGCTCACGAGCAATTTCACGTCAAATGACGGATCTATCTTGTTGGTTATGGTCAATCATTCACATTTGAGCTTAAATTTTGCTGTTTGGAATTTCGCAAAAAAAAACTTCAAAAAGGCGTACCTATTCGATATTTCTGGATCAACAATAGAAAAGGGCCCATCAGCATTTGTAAACAAACCGTTCCAAAGCCCATTCCTCACAAACCGAAGGCCGCCCATACAAACCAACACCATCATCGTGTAGGCAGAAGTTTCCCCTATCCGATGATGGTGTTGGTTTGCATGGGTGGCCTTCGCTTTGTGAGTAAAGGGCTTTGGAACGGTTTGTTTACAAATGCAGATGGGCCATTTTCTATTATGAAGAGCTTTGAGTGGGTTGGTTTATTTCCCTTCAATTTCGTTATAATTGCTTATCTTTTGACAGATACGCGTATTTCGTCTACTACTTGCAGACTTCATCAGTGCCGAGTGGTGTTGAGTACTTGGCACTGATGAAGTCTGCAAGTAGTAGACGAAATACGCGTATCTGTCAAAAGATAAGCAATTATAACGGAATTTAAAGGAAATAAACCAACCCACTCAAAGCTCTTCATAAAGGGATTCCGTTAAGAGGTTCGACAAATTTAAAGCATTTTCTATTGTTAATCCAGATTTTTCAACAAAACATAATTCTGGATCAACAATAGAAAATGGCCCATCAGCATTTGCAAACAAACCGTTCCAAAGCCCTTTACTCACAAAGCGAAGGCCACCCACAATTTCAAATTTGTATGTTTTGATGAAGCTGACATTTGTGCCTTTGAAGTTTCACGTTAAGGCTTCCTTAGAGTATCACCAACCGGTGAACACTCGTGTTTATTTCAGTTACCGAGGGACATAATTTGTGATTAGTCCCGGTCCCTTTCAAATTGTTTCATTATTTATGTACGGTCCTTATATTTGAAATAACGTTTCACATTCATCTAGTGATGGCCGATTTTCATTTGAATAATCGATTAATCGATTAACGAACCGAAAAGTAAAATATTTGTAATCGGTTAAATCATGCCGATATAAGCATTACATTTCAAGAGGATCATCACCGATCGTTTCAAACATGTGTTGCACTCTCATTGGTGGAAAAATGGCAGCACAGCGAACAAAAAAAAAATCGATTAGTTGTTAATCGAGTAATTAAAAGATGGGACATCTCTGATTTTGGTGTGATTGTTTTGATCAAAATGAGCGCAAAATTTCATCTCTACCGCTTGCTGATAGAGGAAACATTCCTCTACCTGCTGGTGTAATTATTTTTCATGAGTGAGCTTTTATTCACGAGAAATCGACGACTAAAGCCATTGTTTACAAATGCAATTACGCCCCTTTGAAATGTTGGCACTGAATTCTTCGAACACAAATGTACATAAAAGGCAACGAAATTAGATCCCTTGTCATAATTCTACATCCTGTAACTTATGCAACGTTTCCTGAACATCTATAAAACTCCCTTTACAAGTCTACGAAGTTTTCTGAATTTATTCAAAATTCCATATTTATTCCATCACTCGTAATCCTACGAAGATCTCCGAACATCTTTGCACTTCTGGAAAGATACCTATCATCTACAAATATTCTTGAACATCTGGAAAATTCCCTGAAATTTAACGAAGTTCCCAAAATCTCCAAGAAGTTCATGGAGCTTTTTTGAAGTAAGATCTGTGACAAACTGTAACGAAGCTCCCTAAGCTGAAGCGAGGATCCCTGAAGTTCTTAGAAGCTTATTGAACTATTTGTAGATCTCCTACAAAATTCCCTGAACTTTTTCAAAATTCCTTACAACATGAAGTTTTACGCAGCTCCTCAAAATGCTACGAAATTCGCAAACCATCTACAAAGTTTGCTGCACTTCTACGATTCTTGTTGAATTTCCACGAAGCTTCGCGAACGAAATTTCTTGAATTTGTACGTAATTTCCACAACCATTCCATGTCCATGAGGTTTCAAAAAAGTGCTCTGAAAAAATATAGTGGTTTCTCCCCCCCCCCCCCTACGAAGCTCCCCAAACTTAAAGTTGTTTCTACGATTTTTTCAGAAGGTCTATGAAGTTCCCAGCATTTCTAATAAGTTTCTTCAATTTCTACGATGTTCCCTGAACGTCTTAGAAGTCCTTGAAGTTTTACGAAGTTCTCAGAAGATGATGAAAATACCCTGGGCTCATGACCAATTTGTAGAGCCTGTAGAGTTTGAATATTGATATCCTATAATTTCTCAAAACTGTTTCTTCTAGTCAACGAAAAGTAGTCAACTTAAAGGAGTCTTTAAAAAATGTTGTTTGTGGTCCAATCAAAAAATTGTACCAAATTTTTCTCAGTGTGTCTCACGTGTGCCACAGCTGTGCCAGCAGTGAAGGAGTGCCAGTCATCGTACTGACTTTTGTTTGCTTGTGAATAATGGCATGCTTGGCAACCCGTTTCAATAGACGTATTGTTTTGAAGGAAGAATACAATAAGCAGTGGAATACGAACCAAGGCGATGATCCAGAGGCTGGACAAACTGACCCGATTGGAGAATCCCCTCGAAAAGGTGATGGAGTTCCAAAGCAAAGACAGCATCAAAACGCATCTGATGGCATTTGGAATTTACAGCCGCCGGGGAAAGCTGCTGCGAATGTTGAAATCGCTGGAACTCTTTCGGGGATCGAAATCTTCGGCTGCGGAGATCAGAAGGCTAACTGGCATCGAACCGGTACAACGTGGATACACGATTTGAGGAGGCCAAGAATGAGACGAAAGTGTTCCGCTGCTAAAGACTGACTTCGTCAGTGGTTGCATATGCCAGTGCAGCGACAGTCGGTTTTTCATATCATATTCGGTGCTTTGTGGAATGTGGGATTGATTGAGTGGAGTGTAATTATACATGGGATTTTGATCATTAGCGATTACCCTGATTTTGGTTTGTGGAATGAATTACAACACGGTTGGGGAACTAAGCGAAAATTTTAGGTTGCGTTTCAAAATGTAATAACATTGATTTGTCACCAACAATGATTTGACACATGCGCTGAGCAGGCACAGAGATAGTACAGAGATGCCAATAACTTCAAAGATCATGAATGTTTCCTATCATGGGTGCCAAACTGTGTCAATTAGCGTGTCCAAATATGATCTTGGAACACTGTGCGGAGTGACCAACCCACAGTTTCTGCGGAACATTCCAAAAAATTTTGAAATACATCTTTAGATTCTTTTCGAATTTAGAAGTTTTGGTAAGAATTCTCTGAAGCTTCAATCCATTTATTTTAATTCGCTTGAATCCTCCTAAAATTCACCTCAAAACTGTTTCAAAAATTTTCTCAGCATAATCTTGGAGCTCTCCTCTAAATCCTTCTGAAAATTAACTTGGAATTCTCCATACAATTCTCTTAACATTCTTTTTATGGAATTCCTTTAAAATTGGACAATACAAAAAATCCAGTTTCTGACGTATGTTTCAGGCTTCACAATCTTCATGTAATTTTCCACAGAGCTTCTTAAAAACAATTACTCTGAAGTCTCACAATTTACTTGATGTTATAGTCAGAACTCCTATAGAATTCTTCCGAAAACTCCCTTGGAAATTTTCCCTCCCAAGTAACATTGCAAGCTTTATAGAGGTTTTATAGCATTCTACAAGTCTAATTCATGGTTTACAGAACCCTCATAAAACCAAAATTGTTACTTGGGTGGGCTGTAATACGTTGGTGTTATGCCTTGAATTCTTCCTAAAATGTCCTCAAACTTTGTCTAAATTCTTTTAATAGTGTTTATAAGTGACTTTATCCTAAAAATATAGTCCAGTCCAGAATACTTGCACTTTTTTTTCAAGGTCCAATTTTGTTTTTTTTTTTTTTGAAAAGAGGACGAAGTATATTTTTCCCGGTGCGTCATCAAAATTTACGGATTTTTCCCGATGACTTCGAGTTCTCTGTGTTTCCGTGTAAATACCGCCCAGCCCTGTCGACGAGCCCCTTGCGCAACTGTCAAACTGAGTGCCTCCTTCGATCGAAATCTTTCTGCAAAAGATTAATGTGCTTTCCGTCGTCATCATTTTGAAGTACTGTACCAAGCACCGAGAAAAGACGCAATAAAATCCAAGGTTCAAACTTTGGGCCTTCTTCGTCGGATATAGTGAATCGCGATGGAAAAGTTAGTGAAAATTCGCAACGCACAAATGGTGCAAATGGTCGGGGAACTGACAGCAACCGGGAAACTCGTTGAGCGGAAGGCTTCCTACAGCGAGGCAACGGAACGGCTCGACCAGCTCAATGAACTTGTTGGAAATTTCCGAAAAACAAACAAGCATCGAGGAGCTCCTTGACTAGTCGGAAACAGTTGCCTCGGTGCACAATTTTCGTGAAGAATTTAACGGGCCTACTTCAAGGCGAAAGACATCCTCGAGAAATATATCGCGGACAACAATCCGGATGATGCGAGTTCCACATCCAGTGGCAAAACGATCGTCGACAGCGACCTCCGAGAGGCGATGAAAATGCTGCTCATCACTCAACGCGCCTTGCTGGAAGGGCAGCGGGTGGCAAGGTCCGCGAACAACAACCAACCAAACTTCGATCCAGCAGCGGGGGATGTGGTGTCGAATCGTTTACCCTTTCTGAATGTGCGGCTTCCATCGATCAACGTGCCGACGTTCAGTGGTGATCGGAAGAGCTGGAGGTCATTCAAGGACATTTTTGAATCGACCATTCACGACCGGAACGATCTGAAGGATTCTATCAAGATGCA